CAAAAACAAACTCCTCCCTGGAAAAGGGACGGGAGAGATGGATGGGGATGAGCCTCGAGGGGAGGGAATGGATTGGGATGAACCCAAAGGACACGGAATGGATTGGGATGAACCCAAAGGACATGGAATGGATTGGGATGAACCCAAAGGACGTGGAATGGATTGGGATGAACCCAAAGCAGATGGAATGGATTGGGATGAACCCAAAGCACACGGAATGGATTGGGATGAACCCAAAGTACACGGAATGGATTGGGATGAACCCAAAGGACGTGGAATGGATTGGGATGAACCCAAAGGACACGGAATGGATTGGGATGAACCCAAAGGACATGGAATGGACTGGGATGAACCCAAAGCAGATGGAATGGACCGGGTTGAACCCAAAGCAGATGGAATGGATTGGGATGGACCCAAAGGACACGGAATGGATTGGGATGAACCCAAAGCAGATGGAATGGACCGGGATGAACCCAAAGCAGAAGGAACACCCAGGGACCCCCCCCGAGGACACAGAGCAGCTCCAGGATGAGCCCTGGGATCCAGGTGAAGCCGCACTCACTGCATGGGCCCGTGGATGCCGTTGTGGATGCTCAGGAGCAGCCGCGGCGGGGCCACGTCGTGGCACAGGTAATGGCTGGAGTCGGCTGTCAGGCGGAAATATCCGTCCACCAGTGACACCAGAGCCAGGGCACTGCTGGGACAGGGCAGCAGCACCTCCTGGGGAGGGACACAGCACCGGGGTGAGCGGGAAACCCACGGGAAACGTGTGGGGAACACTAAAAACCCCATGGAAAACCTACAGGAAACCCATGGGAAACCCTAAAAAAACCCTCGGGAAACCTTCGGGAAACTCTAAAAAAAACTCTTGAGAAACCCGCAGGAAACCCTAAAAATCCCCAGAAAACCCAGATAAAACCCCTCGCTCCTCCCAGCGCCGCCTCCTCCCGCTCTGGACGGAGCAATCCCGGGATCCCAGCACCGGCAGGGATCAGGAATCCCAATCCCACCCACCAGGCACTTGTTGTCCTGCCGGTGGATGCTGATCCTGCAGTCCTTGACCACCACGTGGGTGATTTCCCGAAAATCACAGAAATGGCACCAGGGGGGCTCGCTCCGCTCCGCAGGCTGCGCCTCCAGCTCCTTGTTCTTGCTCTTCCTCCCAAAATATCCACGCTGGGAGAGGCCTTCCATGGTCTGTAAGGGGGCAGAGAGGAGAATTCCAGACTTTTCCTGCTGCTGGGAAGGGTTGGGGGGAAACTGGGATAGACTGGATGCAAAAATGAAGGAGATGGTGTGGGATGAATTTGGGTGGGAAACTGGGAAAACTGGGAAAAGAACAGAGAGAGCACCCCGGGCAAAACGCAGGACCACAAACCAAGGAAAACGATGGGATTTGGGGCAGGAATGGAGCATTCCAAAACCACCACAAACC